TTTCTATCCCTGGGCTGGCACCCAGAGTTAGGAGGGCTTTATTTTCATTGCCTAATTTGTTCAGCTTCTCTAGGTATTGTTTAACCAACCTTGAATTGATGGTTACTGAGTTGATAGCTCTTAAAGCTTGACTATATCTTGTTGTCGATAGTTCTTATCTAAAGGCTCATTTACATTTGTCACTTTGAATGTACAACTTGGATGAATCATCCAAAGTGATAAGTATAAATTGCCTTTCATCACTGTTTCATCCAAAGTGTACACTAAAATTGAACGATGAAACAAGTTGACGGTCTTCCTACTTTTGTTGAAAGAAGCGTTCAACGAACCGTTGATTCATCCAGATTGAACGGCAAGTGAAAAATGTAAACAGCCGATGCCGATCCGTGCGGCCAACCTCGATATAAAAAACACCGGGAGAGGTGGCAGCCTGCTGAAGATGAAACAGTGAACTGCTGCGAACTGGATGAAAATATGTAAACAAGGATGTTCAATTTGGATGAATTCAATCTGACTGATTCATTTTGGTTGTACATCCAAAGTGACACAGTGTAAATTCTGCTTAAGATAAGTTGTACGCATCTTTTGATAGCGTATAGATTACTGCCTGAATGATGCTGGGGTAGGTTCACGTAATACCATAACATGGTATAATACCCACGTAACGTGGGTATGATGCCACGTTATGGTATCTATGGTATGTCTTTTAACTGCTAAGCAAACGTTTATCTCTTCAAATTCCTTTTGTAGCTTAATACTACAGTTTCTCAAAGTTGTACATTCTTGGTATGTCCACTGGGAATTGGAAAAGTTAAATCTCGCTTTTGAGGGTGTTCCAAGATCCTGAGCTGATAATTCTTTTATTTTCGCACTGGAATATCTACCAATGACAATGTGCATTGGTGTTAGATCTAGAATGACCTCCGCTGCTTTTGGGCAGGTTCTAATGGCTCCTGTGAAGCAGATGCATGCCAGTCTCTGTTTTTGCGTAGGTTTTACCTTGCTGTCTGTTGCTTTAGTTTTGCTTCTTTCATAATAAAAGTTAAGAAAACAAAATGTGTTCCTTAAAACACCATTTATTAAGAAATAAACAAGAAGTTAGAAATAAAAAAATATTAATTTTCCCTAAAATCGACGAGAACAGCACTTAAGAAAGCGGTTAAAACAATTAAGTTAATGCTCTTTTATATCGGCAAATGCGATAATTTCCAAAACGATCCCGCGAATATATAATGTATAACGCAAATGCAAATGATTTAAGAGGAAGGCACATTCACGGCAGCCCATTTAGTGTTAAAGGCATCTAATTAGAAAACCATTAAACCGGATATTAGACTAATAATTGGTTTAGATCTAAACTTAGCGACCTGCAGCTTGGAAAAATCGATAATTTGGTCATTGAAAAGCTTTAAACAAAGCGTGAGCCGTGCTTTGCTCGGCTTTATTTACCGATGAAATTCTGCGGCCCGATAAACGCTACACACAAACGTATTAATTTTAGTTTACAACTTGGAAATTTATGGTAAGGAAAGTCTTAATTCGTGAATTATTGTTATTACGTGAACGTGCTACGGAACTAAACAATTTTTATTCTTTAATAGACGCTTAAACACGCTAACGCATATGGAAATACTAAGATTTGTAAGGAGGTAGTACCCCATTACTTACAATGCACACAATATTTTTTTTTTAATTTTAATCTAATCTCAGTCAGAGCTGGCAAGAAGTCAGTGTCAAAAATATTTAAATTATTATATTTAATTAATTATTATATATTATGACAACCAAACCCAACCATTCAATCAAAGAACAATTATTTCTTATGTTACATTCACTATTTTCTTTATCTTTGAACTAGTTCTAATTTCTATTTGCCTAATAGAAATCACCAAAATATCCTAAAATTCTTCCTGGCCGCATCGAAACCAGAGGAAAACAGTATAAATCAAAACAGCGAAAATTACTTTGCTTTCCCAAAACACCCAAAACTTTACTAGAAACATTATTTTACAGGCACACTGTTTGTGCCTCACTGCTCACAGAAAACTATTAATTTTAGTTTACAGCTAGAAAACATATAGCACGAATAAAGCTCTCTGTGTTCCTCCTTCGATCATTATTATAACTACTACATGAACGTGCCAGGGAATTAAACATTTTTCACCGGTTAATCAACGGGTTGGGTACGCCAATGCCTCAAAATATTATTTGTGTAAAGTGGATACTCCTGCCTGCTTATTTTATTTCACCATGAGTTAATGACCTAAGAGATGTATTATAGTCACTAAATCCATGTATAGCTACGAAAATACTGGGTAAGAAATAAATAATATTTAAAGCTTGTCCAAAATGTACTTATTCATAAAACGTTTAATAGTATTTAATTATAATAAATATATGTGGTTGAAATAGGAAAAAAACTTCAAAACAATATAGCCTGTTATTAAATAAATTACTATAATTAAAACAAATAGTGTGAGTCAACTACTGACCAAATAATATATAGCCGCTAATATGTTTAAGAGACAAATGAGCCTTACCAACGTTGTGTTGTAACACAAATATGATACATATAAAAATGATGGAATGTGGTTTAGCTGAAGTAGTTTCCACGATTTTATTATGTATCCATTCTCATTTGGGTTAAATTTAATTTTTGTGCTATCAAAATGAATATAAGCTATTTTTCTGTTCTAGACAGAAATAGTGTACTAGACAAATATACATCATTAGTCTTTATTTTATATACTTATTTAATATCAGTATTAGCCCTGTATATGCTTTCCAACATTCTTCGAGATAATTTGTGTATTACATACTTATCATATTGCTAAAAATCCCGAATAAAAAAAGCTCTCATAATCTCCAATAGGAATACAAAAAGCTCTGCATAATGAAATGCCGAATTATGTTGTAATTAACCCAAATGGGTCTTTTAAAAATGTTTGTACTACTGCTTTCAATAATCCTTATTCCAAACAGCAGGGATTTTTTCCCACTCTTTCTTCACTATATGAAGTATTTTTGAAAGACAAGAAACATATTGAACTAGCTGTTTGAAACAGTTTCATTAAAATAGAAATTCCTTTAACTTATTTTTTCGTTAATTAAAACAAGTTTTTTAGCTTGCTTTCGTTTGATAAAAAAACATAAAATTATATTTTGTGGATTGATTTCACGGTAATTAAAGTTTTGTTTGATCATATCAGGATCAAGCTATTTTTATATATGTTTTTGGATCTATAAGTATAAAATAAACTCTAAGTATATCAATAAGTGCTCGCTTGGTGTTGCAGTCTAATAGTAGTCTAATCTTGCAGTGTCTAGTGTTGGTTTTGGTCTTGCTACAAGACAAAATATATTTTTACTAAAGGCACTGTCTACATACAAAATCTTTACATAAATAATAATATAGAAAAAAAAATTATTAGAACATTGAAAAATTATTAGACAATTTTTTTTATTTTTTAATTAAATGAGCATTTCTTTCTTTAAATTTTTTTGCAATAGTGGGAAAACCTTTGTTTGTAATAAATATTGAACAAATAAATAGGTTGTACTAGTCGGTCTTGGTCTTGCGGATCGAACGCCCATCTTGGTCGTGCTTTTTATGCAAGACTAAAGTCGGACCCACACGATGTAGCAAACACCTTCCAACGCTGGACACACGGACATTTGCCACATTGTGTGGGAGACACACTTGCCAGTTATGTGTATTGTATAACATTGATGAAAACTGTGCCAAATATTGGTGCCAACGTTGGAACCAACGTTGGACGCATCGTGTAGGAGCGGCTTAAGAGCAAGACTAAGAATAGAAACATATCCAAGATATACCAAAGCCTAAATTTACAAAAATGCGGAGCACATTTCTATTTAATTTTGATGAGAGTATTTAATGTCACTAATTTTGTGATATTTAAATTTTGCAGCCCAGGCCGATTCTACAATACGTTGGAATAAAGAACATGTCACACGGGCAAAGCGGGAATTTTAGCATGGCAATATAAACCAGCTGTTTTATCGTGAACCGCAACCAGCCGTCCCCAATATATTTAATGAAACTGCCTGCCGTTCCTTTGATTCTTTTATTAATTAGAAGTTTCTTTTTATGTATTTCCGAAGCTTCCTTAAGATAAAAACAGAAAGCACTTTCCTGTCACCTCGTTAGAACCTTTCAGCAACTTCAATGGGAATAGTTTTAATGTAAATTAAGAGGTGAATAGGGCGTGCGAGGTAAAAAGGAAATTTAGTTTTAAAACACCTTGTTAAAAAGGTTTTGCTGAAAGACCATCCCTCAATAGGCGCTGCAACATTTGGCTAACACACTTGAAAGGTTGGGATTTACGGGGAAAAACATATTTTACAAGGCTATTCAGGCATTAGACCGAAGAAACGCTCTCTATACACTCAATTGCTTTTAGGTTTTTATTTAACTTGCGCACAGTTTGCTAAGAAGGTTACGCTTTAACGCTTTGAAATTTTGCATTGAAAATATTCGTTTATGAATATTTTTCAATGCTAATTGTTGCATTATGCATTTTAATATGACGAATGCACCGCAATAGGTCAAAAAATGCATCGTTACAATAGCGATATGCATATCCTATGACTAAGGAAGCGATTAAAAAAAAGGCTGTATTAGCAATAATTTTGTTTTGACTGCTACAAAATTTTACACAAATATCTAACTAAACAAAAATTAAACTTTGGGAAAAAATGTTTGATTTGATTTAAGTGAGTGCTATGTAAATTTCATACTCACTAACGTAATCAAAGCAATAACAAATTACTTCCTAACTCCGCTAGTAAAATAAATAGATAAAATAAACAAGGAACCGCGTAAATTAAAATATTTATAGAAAATCCGGAATAACGGAGAGCACTTAAAAACGAACTAAGAATCCTGAGGCTGAAAGCTCTCTGTACCAAAAAGTTTGTGCCCATTGCACGTGAACCAAACAAAACACCAAATGTCATTAAACTTTCAAGTACCTTACCTTAAGTATAATAAAATCCATGTATAGAAACCAGCGACAGCGTACATATAGTAAATACACAAGAAAAAGCGCTAAAAGTTTTGTAAAATATATATTTATATTTTGAGAAAAGTTAGACGCGGAGGAGCAAAGCGCGTATCTCGTGCTGCAGAGGAGCCCATGCGTTCTCACCGGACGCTGAACCAAGACTGACTACACTACCCTTTACGCCTGATGCCAGTTAGAGGCAAAGCAACGCCAAGTTAGGCATCATAAGAACTATTATTGCAGTCAGAACTTATGTCACGACACTTGGAACTTGCTAAATGGGTTTTTGAGACGAACAAATTATTTTTAAGATGCGAATTCTTTACTGGCTTCGGAAATACAAGAAATTCCAACTTCCGCTAAGAACTCTATTATAAATCGTTCAAATAAATGCTATTAAAAATCAGTTAGAAAAGTTAGAAATGTTTTCGAATTATAATTTAAAACTAGGGTTTCCAGACAAATTTTTGGAAATTCCAGAATAAGCTCTGAAATCCAAACGAAATCCATCCAGACAGAGTTTGTTGAAAAATAAATTGATCTACTAATCTACTGATGTGAAATGTTTGCCTAACGAGATATGTTCGACAGTGAGATATCTCGTTAGAGTCTGTCATTTTAATCCACAGGTAAGTTTTCCTTTCTGTCATTCTTTAGATGTCTTCTGATGATATTCTTCCAATAACAAACTTTACTTTAAAGGGTAAATTAAAGGCAGCTAAAAAAGTTGTTTTTCGTAGTTTTTATCTAAGATAAGTTGTGCGCATCATTGGTTCGAAGTATTTAGTTTTCGGCCCAAATACTGCTATCCCTGTATTGGTTTTGGAAACAATTGGTTTTGTTCCTGCTTTGGTTTTGGAAACATCAGTATACGTTACAGTATGGTCTTTTACCTGGCGAGAAAAAGTTTCTCTTTTACAATCTTCTTTATTGTTCAATACTACAGAAAGGTGTTTGTCAAAGTTGTATATTCTTGGTATGTCCGGGTAAATCCGGACACTCGTCCGGACTCCTGTAAACCATACTTAAAACCCGAATTCAATTAAAAGCAAATTCTTATTAAAATATACAGGTGGGTCTTAAATAAGCGCAAATATTTTTAGAGGTAGTGTATTTCGAACCCAGAATCACGATTACGAAGATTTTTTCGGCAAAATTTTTTTTTGGAAATTTGCAATTTTTTTTAATTTTTTGGAATTTTTTTCTAGTTTTAAGATAAAAACCATAATTTCTTGACAATATGGAAACATAGGTAGTAGATTAAATATACGAGAAAACCGAGAAAAAAATCCACTGGTTCTAAAAATGTAAGCAAATATATATTTTTTTTAAATTTGCAATTTTTTTAAATTTTTTTGGATTTTTTTTTAGTTTTTAGATAAAAACCATAATTTCTTGATAATATGGCAACATGTAGGTAGTAGATTAAATATACGAGAAAACCGAGAAAAAATCCACTGGTTCTAAAAATGTAAGCAAAAATATTTCTTTTTGAAAATTTGCAATTTTTTTTTTGGGATTTTTTTAGTTTTTAGATAAAAACCATAATTTCTTGATAATATGGCAACACAGGTAGTAGATTAAATATACAAAAAAATTGAGAAAAAATCCACTGGTTCTCAAAATGTAAGCAAAATTTTTTTTTTTCAAATTTTCAAAGTAAATAACTCTGTTATTTTGGACGTATTTCAAATACGGTAAAGAAAAAATATGTTTCTTTTATCGAGATCTACCACCCCTGAAAATATTTGCACTTATTTAAGACTCACCTTGTATAACATTAAAGTATTTTACTAACAACTGTCGTTAAAAATGAAATGAGAATATATATACTAAATGTTTATATCCTAATAGTGATTGGAAATAGCACATTTTAAATTAATTGCTTATTGATTCTAAGTAGAATCTGCTGTGGCTTTTTTTTTCTGTGGCAAATTTTTCGGTTAGAAGAGAGGGATATTTGTCGTTCTCTGTGACATCGAATCCGCTAGTTATTTCAAAGATCCAATTCTAAGCAACGTCCAACAATATGAGGTAATGAAGGGTTTTATTCTTGATCCAAACAGACTGTGCCGAACAGCAGGCTAACTTTTAATATTCAGTGGCGCAGGTGGATCAAATTTGCTTATTTTATACCCGAATTTCATCAAAACGCGGCTGGCTGCCTGGGCCGTTTGTTGCCAACTTTGTTGTTAAACCCCGTTTAAAATTTAATAACGAAATTAACTTATATTGATCCTGCACAACTAATTTACTATGGACAGGCGTATTATTTTAGTTTTGAATTTATATATAAAATAAAATTTTTCCAATAATCCTTATTTGATTTTAAATAAACAGAAGACATATTATCAGATCCCATCCATTTCAATAGTAATAAACTAAATAAAATAAACTGATTAGGTTTAACATGAGATCTCACAACTTTTTGTAGTAGAAACAGTGGCGCAACTGTGGTGGGTAGGGGGGTGGTAGTGATCTAAGCCCCCCTAAAAGTCTATGTCTAGTTGCACCCCTGAGTGGAAGAATTGCGTTGCGAGACTTGGCATTTCTTTTACATTTACCTTGATATCACCTTGATATGAAGTGTATCCAAATCAAAAACTTGTTATTATTTATCTCCACCAACCGAATGATTGACTTGTTTATTTTAATCTTCGGTTTTATCGAAATAGCTAGTAAGCCTTTAATATTTAGCGACAAACAGGTAGTTCAAATATCCACAGATTATGAGAGAATTGCTTACAATGACAAACGATAACCCAAATGGCTATATTTATCATTCTATGCTAAACGGAAATGTATAAATCTAATAGACAGACGATTACAATACATAGACTGAAAATAAAGAGCACATATTGCAAAATTATGTTTCAAAACTGATAAACACACTTTTGTCGTTTATTTTTATTATTTACATTTATTTGTCTTTTACGACACCTTAATCTATTTTTTTCATATCGTTGCCCGAAAAGTTCGTAACTAGGTAGTTCATTAGGGAGAATTGCGGTATTACAATGCCTTCTGATGATATTATGTTCCATCCACATCTGAGGACATAGAGGGCTCTTTGTACATCTTCTGACATTGCACCCACAGGTATTTATCTATGTTCTTCATTTTATTGTACCGCAAAAGTTGTTAACTAGTTCATTAAGGGAGGATTTCGATACAACAATGTTCCTGATGGTATTATGTTCCATCAACATCTCAAGATATGAAAGACTTGTACACCTTCTAGCATTGAAACCACAGGTGTTTAATATGTTCTTTCTAATCAATTATCTTCATATTGTTGCCAGAAAAGTCGTTAATTAGTTCATTAAGGGAGGACTTGAATAGAACAATCCTCCTGATAGTATTATGTTCCATCCACATCTCAAGATATGGACGACTCCTGCACACTTTCTGATATTGCAGCCACAGGTGTTTAATATGTTCTTTTTAAACAATTGTCTTCGTATTGCTGCCGGAAAAATTATTAACTAGTTCATTAAGAGAGGAGTTCGATATAACAATGCCTTCTGATGATATTATGTTCCATATCCACATCTGAAGGCCTTCTTGTACGCCTTCTGGCATTGCAACATCAGGTGTTTATTTTGTTAATTTTAATATATTGTTTTCATATTATTGCCAGAAAAGTCGTTAACTAGTTCACTAAGGGAGGATTTCGATATTATAATGCTCCTGATGGTATTATCTTCCATCTATATCTAAAAACATGGCTCCTTGTACACCTTCTGGCACTATAACCAGGAGTGTTTAATTTACTCCTTTTATTATATTTTTTTTCACATTTTTGTCGAAAAGCTCGATAATTAGTTAATCTAAGGAGGATATCGGTATAACACTGTTCCTGATGGCTTCTTTCCATTAAATTAAGTTTAGAAATAAATGAAAAAGAAAATAAATTAAAAAATTGCGATATGGCCACGCCACTGGAGTATAGTGTTGCAAATTCCATCAGCATCCCCTTGACAACTCACTCCGATAAGTTTGGGAGGGTAAAAAAACCGAACAACCTGAAAGGGTTTATGTTAAAACTTAATTTTTGCAGGATTTTCTCAAACTTTATAACGATATTCAGCCTGCGTAAATAGTGAGGGAATGTGTGTATTTTCGAGACACCCATTTTCACAAAATACCCTTTAATTACATAAAGGTGTTTGCGTAGATTTAAATACGCTAAAATACTTTAGGAAGGATCTATCCTACAAAGTTATTTGTTAGAGAGAAGTTTAAATCATATTATGTTTTCCGCAGTTTTAGTATTGAAAACTTTCTTATCTCAGGCGGAAATTTCGTCGGTGAAAGTTTAGCTTTGTATTTACTGGTAGAGTGCTTTTTAAAGGATTATGATAACGTACAATTAGCTACTATTAACAGTCTATTTCGTTTATCAATTTTATGTGTTTTTATTTCCTTTATTTAGCGCTAAGTTTTGCCTCTTAAATGTAATATTTATTAAAGAAAAATATGGATGTTTTTACGGAAAATGTTCAATCTTTAATCAGGATAAGATGTCAAAGATTATTAAAGCTCATAAAAGTAAAATACCAACGCTAGGTATAATCGCGAATTCATTATAATAAAACTAATATTATTATACAGTTTGCTAATGTATTATATTTTTTTCCTCTCGCTTATATTCTTAATATTCTTTAAGATGACCACAAGGTGCAGTGAAAGACCTATGTCACTTTAAAAAATGAAGGGTCCATGGGAAAAACTTGATAAGTGCCAATTTCTTAATTTTAGTATTTTACAATACTATAGTAGGTTTAAATGGTCCCTACAAAATCTATAAGGTCTGCAAGGCAATAAGTTGTTAAATAGTATGATATGTAGTCTAGTAAAAATATAGAATACACGGCAAGTACACAGCAAGTACCTGATAACTACCAGCCGTCCGGTGCTCTCTGTGAAATTGCGCTTATCGTGTTTTTCCTCTGGACCTTTCAAATCTAATCTAGATGATGGATTCCTCTCCAGTAAGAGATTGTCACCATCTACACCAATTAAGCTTACTTCATGTAGAAGAAGCAAACTTCGCTTCTACGGGCCACTAACTCGAAGATCCCAATTGATATATTAGAACAACAGTACATCTTAGTAGTCTACTATTGGCGAAGACTAGGTTTTTACTGCATTAAC